ATCGTGTCTTCAGCACCAGGTTGAGGTCTGTCGGTCCCAATATTTAATCAGCAAAGCGGGCCTCAAATAACCCAGGCAACGCACTCGAGCGGCCCCAACACCTTGAGGCCCCGAATGTGAGTATCCTTCCCGTTCATGTAATTTGCCGCAACTACGATTTGAATGGCGTAACAATGCAACGGTCGACTACAACAAACTCTTGTCAGAAAGCGATAAGAAAGAATACGCAAACGTACGCGCTCATGCCATCATCCGACGGGTCCATGGAGACGTCAAAGTCGAGCCATTCGTTGGGCCGCTCGAACCCGACGTATCTGACTTCTTGCAGGTCGTTCAGGCTCATACCCGCGCGGATAGCGAGTCGAATAGGCGTATACGAATCATCTTGGTCGAATTTGAGGAGTATAGCGATTTTCTTACGCACAAACGTTAGTGCCTCGCGATGTGTGCAAAGGATTGACACTCACTTGCACAGCGACTTTTTTGTGAAACTGCAACGTGATAAAGTGGGGTTGCGGACCGTCGCTCCTGTAGTATCGTTTCCAGTTTAAGTTTTCTTCAGTTGAGCCGTGCCCGACTTACTGCCAAAACGTCTCGGGGTCGTCATCGCGAAGACAATCGACGTTGAACCCGTACTTGTAGCTCGACACGCTCCAGGTCGCGAGATGTCCAATGTCTGGTAGTTTACCATGGTAGTGATCCCCTGTTAAGAGCCGCTAGAATTTGAATAGGAATATAGGACGAGGAGGAAAGGTGAGCACTCACCCGACATGGTAAATTATCAATCAAGATAACAAAGTGGCTCTGTTTGGCGTATTGAATCGTATCATCCAGCTGGCCCTAGGATGGGATTTATTTTCCACACAAAATAGTTCGCGTTGCCTACCTAAAAACAGGCTGTGGTTTGCACTAATGGCGGTCAAGTGCAGGTTCGTGAGGGACTGTGCAGGACTAAACCTTGATTTGTAATCCTATCCATCAAACACCACGGATCAACACCGACGATAACCACACGGCAATCGTATCCTCTTTCTCAGATTGTACCTACCCTTGGGGTGCGCGGGGACCCGTGCACTACTTGAAACAAGGTTCCCGGCTGCAGTTGAGTGCAGCGCGCGTTTTTGGGATATTAAGATCTCGGGGATCATGCCGCAAACGGGTTCCCAACGGACTGGAAGATTCCGAGTTGTTCTTATGGAAGTACTCTAGCATCCTGGAGAAAATTTTGGTGCTTCACGGCTGGTATATTCTTTATGCGACATTAGATATTCACAAGCAAAATATCGCTTGTATAGGTACCCACCAAAGACAAGATCCACAGATTTCGTTCACGGAATGTTTCCCGAGCTTCCCGCAGGAACACAACATTCCTATCGCGCCGGAACGTCGGCCAATATGTTGGATCATTCGGAGTTAAGTTCAAGGCGACCTCCTAAAAGGTTTATATCCGTTCGTTATCCGTGGGTAAACGCAGCTCCGAACAACGTCCGTGGCTTCTTATTTGTTGGCATGCAACCGTCGCTAATAATTATGTTTGACTTTCCACAGATCAACGGTTACTCCCCAGCTGAGAGCAACCTCTCAACGCTAATAACACGCACTCATGCTAAGGGTTTACTATCTCACCCCACTTCCAGTCTTGCAATAACGTGGTATTTACCTTAGCGCACCTGTCGTCTTACTGCCTCCGAGGTACAAAACAAGGCAATCCGGGAGCAATAATGTAATGGGATCAATCAAATGGTATATAGCCGGTTGAGCCTATCGTATACATAAGCTGACTCCGTACGTCTGCTACCCCATACTGCTACCGCAAGGGTAATATTCTCTCATTCAATTGCTTCCGTAGCTCTACATCTGTGGGGCGGTACGTCCCGGAGAAGGGCGCAAGGTCAAGATTCTATGTCAAGATTGCGATACTTAACCTCTGGCGGTTTGCCCGCCGATAGCAGAATCTCACTCCTTTCGTGTCTAGGTCTTGTTCGTGTAGGCTCTAATGGTATGTGGTTTTATGCTTTGGCCACGAAATTTGAGTTGAATCTCTCAGAAGGTTTACGACATGACTGTCTTGCCATATTCTGTCGACCTGGACGCCGTTACCGCGCATATATACACCCATCCTATTCGCTCCTTCTTATCAAAAACCGCTGTGCTATTTCTGTTACATGGCCACCCGTCTAGCTCACGGCATATGGCACCTATCGTGAATGGGATATTCGATCTGACAACGACGATGTCTAAAACGGCTCTTGGCTTGAAACAAAATCTTGTCATTGTGACTTTGGTGAGAGGTTGTTTGAAACTGGATAACAGGAACGCTCATGTTTGACTGGCTTGCAGGACCTCGGACTGGCGGATGACGAAGTTGAGCTCGATGAGCCAGAGTCGTGAGCATTCCTCTGCTATCGAGTTTGACGAGTGCTCATATGCATTTGGGATCTACCAGGGAACGTGTCTACCGACAACAAGGTAAGCCCGTTTACGTCCCGCCCGTCTGCATCTGCTAATCGTGGACTGTGGCAGAACGCATGGCCGAGGGTGTCTCGGCCCTCATCGACAGACTTCCTTCTGTGTTGAACCCTAACCATGACGAAACCGTGTATGTGAGATCTCGCTCAGCTCCGAGTAGATATGCTAACTGAGCGGTTAGAGATACCTGGATGGTTGCCGGGGTATCGTTAGGCGCGCATGCGGCGTGGTTGGCCGTAGACCGAGGTGAGTCCGACCCGTCCGATCGTTCAGTAGGGTAAGCTCAACTTGCGACGCAGACCCTCGTCTGTCCGTGTGTATACCTATAATAGGTTCGCGCTTACCTATATCTGTCATTCGCGTCTGCTGACCTCATTGCCGCAGGATCCCCCGACTTTCTCGACATTGTTACCCAACGAAGTAACACCGGTGCTCTCCCGCTCGTGTCGTCTTATATACCCGCCAGCATTCGGGGCCACATCATCAAACATGATCCGGTCTCGCGCAAGCGAAATGTGTCGCAGGAGAGGCCATTCATGAACAAGCATATTCTGGCGCTGGCTGGGGCGCAGGATGGCATGATCCCACTGCTCGCGACACGTTCCTTTTTGGACCGCATCGATGTCGGGCCGGCAGGAACGAAGCGGCTGGTGATCCAGCAGGGGGTAGGACACCAGTGCACAATGGAAATGGTTAAGGAGATGGCGGAGCTGGTATGGAAGGTGGCTTTAAAGTAGGCGTTTCTGCTCTTTTGTTATCTCTTCGCTCTCTACACACCCTCGTTATTTTATTTTGAAGTTGTATGTAGACTCCCAACTGTATTATACACATGCCCATGCTCGGACTCTCCACGGCTTAGGCGCTGTAATCATGTATATTTGACCCAAGGTTGACCTTTTTTTTTTATAAACCTTGTTGCCCGTTGTACATGCTCCTGTAGGCAAGTTTGTAACAGATGCATAATATGTCTCTCACGGTAGTGGGAAACAGCCATCCAATAATTATCTGGTATCCCTTCCTGATTCTCGAGCGTCGCCTTCGGCAACAGCTACCTTGCTCAAGCTTCATGGGGTTGACTTACTAGGGCCTTTTTGAGAGTATAAGTCCTGCATATAATCCAAATCATCAGTCTTTGAGCAGCCTCATTAAGATAGATGGTGTTGTTGTTGGAGGCACTGTTGATTGTATGCTTCGTGAACCTGCGGTGTGTAGGTGTTGTACCCTCCGCTATTGAAATATTTATGAAAATCTACAAGCATTTAAAAATTTAGGGGTATCCGCAAGATGGTGGAACTTAGCCGGGATATACAAAATGAGTGTGAATGTGGGCTTGTCACCACTTCCCCATGAACTCCCATTCTTCGGCGTGCCAGGCGTCGGACACTTGAGCTGAAACCCCGGCTGGAGCAACCAAAGCTAACTTGTCGTCTCCCCTAAAACAGTGTCCTCCAAGCTTTCAGGGTGCCGGTGCTGTCTAGCCCAAGCTTGGGCTTGCTGCTGTTTTCCATATGACGGCTCTTTCCGACAACAGCCCTGGCGCCCTTCAGCCTGTGTGATCGTAGCAAAATGGTCTCCGGAGACTCCGAGAGGCTGAATCGTATGAATGACGTGCCTGGGTTGACCCGCACCCCAGAAGCAGGACTGGCGGAGGGGTATGGGCCTCGTGTATGAGTCGTTACAGGAGTATGGGCGCAGAAGACTGTCAACGGAGTAGCTGGTACTGTCGCCAATGGTATAGGGTTATCCTTTGACTCAGGGTGTGTCGGTATGAGAAGATTGAGGGAAGGGTAGAACAAGAATTGGGCTTGGTGAGACTTATGAGTATTAGCTACTAGGGTCTCACTGTAATTTCATTCATAATTCAAGCATATATTTACCTTTTAGTTTGTGTGTGGGCTGTTTTCAAAAAAGAATCAAAAAGATACAACAAGCCAGACTACTATGCTAATTCAAGCGTTCCACAAAGGTAGTCATCCTTCGGCGACAAGTGCGCGTAACGGAAGAAAGATGGCACGCCTTCTTGACAATTTCCGGCGTGTAGAACCTTGCCTGAGCAAGGTAATGCTTTATGCAAAATATCAAGGCGATCCAATTGGTAGAAATATAGAGACTAGCAAGGGAAACTAGTGCTTGCCCCCTATTTCCCCCTTGTATAGTACAGAATGAAATAAGAGGAATACACAAGCACTAATGGGTACATTTTCATGGATATACCTATGTATGAATCTCTGTGCGCTCCTCCTTCAATCATTTCATATCCATTCTCTCTCTTACGATTTAAACCCCCCTACCCGTGTACCTACAGACTAACTCTCTCTCGAATCTGAGTCGTCAGGCAAGTCATATGTCACTCTCATAAGCTCCGACATCGCCAGTCCACTCTCGCTCAACCTTGAGGTCCCTCGGACCTCACGACCGCTTTCTTTGTGTCTGCTGATGCGATTTGCTCATGTGGTTCCCTAAAGTTGAGTTCCGACCCAAAAAGTATGAGTAGTAGTATCCTGGATTGAAACAGCAAAAACAGTAGCCACTACCGAGCACGGGGCTTGAACCCGCAACCTTCGCCTAAACAACTGGTAGGAGGGCGATGCTCTACCATTGAGCCAACCCGGCTTGTTACTGAATCAAGCAAAGTCACCGTGTCGCTTACCAAGGACAAACTATGGGTGTGAGATAGCTCGTGATGTCATAGTACAATATAATCCATCAACCTCTCCTATACTTCCTTGCACTTGGGTGACTATCCCCGATATGAGTTATGATTGTTTTCATTAGATCAGCAAGCCTTGGTGGATGGTATTCTAGCAATTGAGGAGCACTTTTTGATTGATTGAGTCTTGTGTAGGATTTCCCATCAGCTCTCGGGTACAGTTAAGAAGGGTCTTATGCCATATGTATAAGTTGTAGACATTCCGTACACAACATCGGTACATATCTGCGTGGACAACGAGACATCAAGACCCGGACCCTTTTCTAACCGGCTGGTCAGCCTCGGCGCCTAAGAGTGGCTAGAAGTGGCTCACCCGATGTTCGAAGCATGTGCTATTTTCAACTCGGCTATCACACCAATGGAACCAATCGCGTCCCTTGGCATTTGCACGTGGTGCTTCACAGAAACGATAAGTACCGGCTATGGGTGGTTCTGCCCAACTTGCTCTTCCTCCGCCCTCTGCCTCTGCTCACCGCCGTGAAGCAAAATGGCTGATCCTGAACCTCGACCTTTTGGTCTCTCGCAAGTCTCTCTCATCTTTGCGTAGGTCGTATGACGAGGCTACTGTGGTGCACGCTACTGACTGGACACTCGTAGGTGTGGCACGGCTTTGTTCTCGGATGGTGCGTTATTTTTCGTGTTAGGAGGTGTAGACTTGACTTGTGCCATAGGATACGCCAACGGTGTTATTGGAAGTGGTAAGCAACTCTTTCATTTCCGTCGATTTCATCTCACAACCCATGTTCGTGCAGTCAACACGAGTATGTACCACCTACCATACACAATACGAACCCAACTCATATGCCCTAGTTCTACGACGACTTTACCCCGCCGAGCTCGCCAAACACAATTATGGGACCACCCTTTCTTCGCTTGCATTTGCGGGAACCATTGTTGGGATGGTTAGTGTTTTTTCTAGTCCGTCATGCCCCGCTTGAACTTTTGTTAGTTATTATTTGGATACCTAAGCGATAAAGTTGGGCGTAAATTCGGAATGGTAAGTCAACTTTCCATGAAATTCATTGCTCCTAAACTCGTTTTAGATGTCAGCCACCGTCATTGTCGCCGTTTTCTCTTTTCTCTCTGCCTGTTCATCTGGAGCACACGGGAGCATTGGAGGCATGCTCGCCATGCTTAGCGCTTGTCGGTAAGCCCGGCTTCTCCGCAACCGAACTTTTCAACCGACACATTTTATAGTTTCTTGCTAGGAATCGGGGTACGTAGCCCGGGTTACATCGCACGGACATGTTCTTATCCCCGTTACAGGTCGGCGCAGAGTACCCATCCGGATCGGTTGCTGCGTCTGAACAATCTGAAGAGGAAGGAATCTCCAAAGGGGCCCAGCATCGTTGGTTTGCTCTGGCTACTAGTAATCCCCCGCATTTTCTCCAACCTTCAGCTATTAACCACTCTCATAGACACGATGATTGACACTGGATTCGTCGTTTCGGCGTTCACCCCGCTTGTTTTGCTCTGGATGTGAGTTTATTTATCAACCCGTGAATGTTTGCTTATTATTTCAGCTTTGGCGAGAACCACCTCCGTGCGGTATGGCGTGGCTCCCTCGGCCTTGGTGTCTTTCCCGCTCTAGCCGTCTTGATCTGGCGTCTCCGCATGACCGAGCCGACCCGTTACCAGCGTGACTCTATGCGCAATACCAAGGTGCCCTACTGGTTAATCTTGAAACGTTACTGGAAGAGCTTGGCTGCTATTAGTATAACTTGGTAAGTTTCGAATAACACTGTGTTCGCGTTTGTTCTGACCTATTGGCATATAGGTTTGTCTATGATTTTATTACGTATGTATGATTGACTATCCGGTGATTCAACCTTTGTGACGAGAGCATTCGCAGGTATCCTGTGGGTATCGCTAGTATCCCAGCTGTTGCCGTTACTGACGCAGTTTGAAGTTCGGCATCTACTCCTCCACCATCGTAGATAGTATTATTGGATCGACCGACAGCCTATACGTGATCTTTGGATGGAACGTAGTCATCAAGTATGCTCTATCACTCCCGTGTCATCCGACGCCTGACCATGTTTGCGACCAGCTTGTTCTATATTCCAGGAACGGTTATTGGCGCATTTGTTGTTGATTTGTTGGGTCCCAAGTATACCATGGTCCGTGCCTCCCTCATCCTATTATCAAAACTCTAATTTGGCCCTAGATAACGGGACTTCTCTGTCAAGCTGTGATCGGCTTTGGCATGAGTGGTGGATATACGCAGTACGTGCCTTGACATTTCTTTTCAAATCACCAACTGACGATGGCACCCCCAGCTTG